CGGCCGCGTCAAGCTGGAGAGCGCGGCGGGGCCGGGGCCCGCGGCGGGCGGCGGCTGGGGCGGTCCGTGCCGCTTCGGGACCGAGCTGGTCCCGCCGGGCCCCGCGCCACCCTGGCCCACCTTCTTCGCCGAGGAGGGGCAGCTGTACGGGCCGTGCCCCGAGCCGCCCGCCGGGCCCGCCGACTGCCCCGCCGACGCCTGGTACCCGCCAGGCCGGGCGCCCTTCGCCGCCCCCGCCGCCGGCATCAAGAGCGAGCTGGAGCCCTGGGTCGAGGGCTACGCCGGCGCCTACGGCGACCTCCGGTGAGTACCCGCGTCCCACCGGCACCGGCATCCTGCACCCTGCATCCCACATCCCGCCGGCCGGCACCCCGCGTCCTGCATCCCACCGGCACCCTGCGCCCCTCACCCCGACCCTGCACCGCGCCCCTCCGGCCGCCCCTCTGCCTCCGCAGCTGCCCCGCGCACCCCGCGACTCCAGCCCCGCTCTGTCCTCGGTGCCCCTCTCCGCTGCCGCACCTTCCCTTTTGCCGGGACGCTGTCGCTTGGGACTGACTGGGCGAGATCGTGCCAGGAGTACCTTGGAGTACCCGGTGCCCCCGCTGTCTCGTTGTGTTTATCGCATTTCTTCACGCTCCCCGCCGCTGGGAGTGGGCAGGATCGGGATGCTGTGCCTGAAGCACGGACGGATCTTAAGATCGAATTAAAATCCTCCCAGCGCCCGGAATGCGCTGTGCATAGCAGGGAACCCCGAATGTAGCGGCAGAAAAACATTACCTGTGCTTCCGGGCTGTTTTAAGTACGGGTAGAAAATGTGTTTTAAAGTAGAGCTAGAATGGGTTTTGGGAATGCAGCAGGGAAGGAGAAGTTTGTTGGAGAAGTAGGATTTGATCAAAAGTAATTTTTCCTGGTGAATTACCCTCAAAAAAAGGCGATGAACCACCTCTGTAAAATCGTGTACAGCATCTAAACCAGTGGGTACCTGTGTGCTCATCCATCAGCACGGCAAAGCACGGCCGTGTTGATGGAAACAGGAGGCAGACAGGGCTGCACAAGCGATTTTCTGCTGGCTCAGAGGCAGCCCCAGCCACGAGTGTGTGAGGCCTCAGCTGGGGTCTGCAGTCAAGGAAGTCCTGCATCCACATGCTCACCCTGTGGTGCTCGGGATGGTGGGAGCAAAGGCTGAAATGAACAACTAGATTTTCCCGCTAAATTAGCATGGGGCAACTGTGCTGCCTCTGGGCTTGTTTGTGCTTTAAATGTTCGTGGCTTCATTTGGGCACTGTGGCAGTTTCCATCCATGCAGTGATTTACTGAGGGATCGTACAGAGAAGTTGAGGGCTTGGCAAAAAATAAGGGGATGAAATTAAAGATAGGTCAAAAAGAATCCAGCTGTGAGCATCATCCAGCTGTGAGCTTTGTGCGTGGCAGGAGCTGTGCAAGTCCCGGGTATGTCTCTGGAGTCTGGATAAATCTCTGCTGGAATCAGCACAGAGGGAGCAGGGAGGAATCAAGTTGGAAAAGTTCAGCGTTCCGGATACTGGCGATGGTGGTGCAGGTTTGTGCCGACAGCAGGCTCGGCCGTGCTGCCGTTCTGCCTGCAGAGCCTGTGCAGGATCCTGCACGGACAGGGAACGTTGTGCTGAGGAGAGCAGGTTTGGGCTCCCGTGGGGTCCGTGGGCAGTCATGGGGGCTGGACCAGACAGCAGCAGGTACATTTTGCCCGAGTCATGCCTTAGAGATAAATGACATTTCCCTCGTTCCTGAGGCAAGTGCTGTATCCTCCTCTTCCTTGCGGCTCTGTTCAGTGTGCCGTGAGTGCGTCCTGCTTCCCCTGGCAGACTTCTGTGGGATCAGCGGGGTCTCGGAGCTGGCACAGTGACCTTTTCAACACCACTATCTTGTCCTTTGAACTCCAGTGCTTGTACAGCACTACCCTGCTGCTGTGAAGGTACGATGGGCTGACGGAATTTATCCTTTCTCTGTGTTCAGATGCAATTTTCAAACACCGTAAGGAGAGCGGAATGCTCTGTCGTGGTCTGGCTCAAGCCGTGTGTGTTAATCACTGCCAGGTTTAACACTTCATCCTAGCAAAGCCTCCATTAGCTTTACAGTGTGCTACTGGTCCATTCCTGCAGCTTTGTGTTTTCTCCTAGATCTCTGGCGGTGCCAGCACAGGAGCAGCTCTTCTGCTGCTGGAGCCTGGTGGGTTGTGTGCCAGCATTACAGGCAACAATGCCTGCAAGGAGAAAGGGTCATGGGAGCTAAGAGGCTCTGTAGTAAAATTCCCTGATGGAAGGATAATTGGCTCTGGACCTGCACCCCCCTGCTTGTGTCTGGTGCTGGGTCTGAGCTCCTGTCCTACATGGCATTGCCCAGCGAGCTTTCCCCTCGTAGCCTCAGAGGATGCAGCCTCAGCGCTCTGTGAGGGCAGTGGGGGGCACTCCTGGGTACTCACCCAGCCTGAGGCGATTGGTGCTTCTGCTCCCTGTGCCTGGAGGTGCTGGCGAGGGCAGTGGCACACACAGCCTGCTTTGGAGAATAAGGAGCATTTCAAGGTGTGTTGCTCTCACTTGCTTCCCTCTCCGAATGGTCTCACTGTCTGCCAGCAGGATCGTGGATCTTCCAGGTGAAGCTCTCCCAAGCTCAGCTCTGCCCTGTTGCAGTTGTGGCCAGGTATGGATAAGTACTTTTTGAGTTAGAGTCAAACACCCCTCATATGACACTAACGCATGAGCAGTTTGTTAATATTTGGGGGGAATTGGGATGGCTGCTGCTCCTGGGCAGGTCTGTAGCCACTTTTGCCCCTTTGGATGGCAGAGTGGTGTCTGGATTTAGAGGTGCTGACACATCACACAGAAAGACTGAGGACATTAATACAATTTGGATTAATTTAAAGCTTTTGGTACAATGTCCTTCATTGGGCCAGTTGTGCCTACATGTAATTAGCAAACTAATCCCAGCTTTTGTCACCCCATAGACTCTGAGCTGTTCATCTTTGTGCTCTGGTTGTTGCATCATTACTACCAGCAGTCTTTGAGGTGACTGAAAAACCTTTTTCAGGAGTAAGACACAGCGCTGACAGAATAAATCCAAGGTTCTACCATCAGAATGACTTGGAAGATGAATCACAGCAGTGGGTAGGGAGGGCTGGCCTCTGGTTTAAGCTGAAATGAAATCAGAGAAGGAGCTGCTACCAAAACAATGGAATGAAAGAGGAGAAAAGGATTTAAGGATCTCTTGGCTCAGGAAAATCTGCAGTCCACGTAGCTTCAGATTTTTTTAAGTGGCATTTGCTATCACTGGTGTCACTTGTTGCTGATACTGGTTGGAATCCTGGTGTTTGCTGGTCACACCTACCTGTGGCTCCTCTTCCCAGTCCAACTGTGATCAGGTTGGGCCAGTGCCACATGTTTATGCATCGCCTGGCTCGAGGGCTCTGTAATCATTTCAGCTCTGTAATTGTGGTACAGCTTACAGATAACACCTGCAGTAATTCCTGCCTGTGGAGGGAGGAGATAAGATTCTGACAAAGAGATGAAGGGATGAAGGGCAGCTGTTAACCCTGAGAGATGAGATGAGGTAGGAGGCCGCTCTCAGGGCTGCCCTCACTCCCAGTCCGTGCCCAGCAGCAGCTGCCCCAACATTCCTGTCCCAGGAGGGCTCTGGGAACTCCCAGCTCTGTGCTGACAGGACTCCAAAGCCCTTGGGAAGGGGCTGACCCTCCCGTCTGCTGTTGTCAGTGTGACCTTTCTGCTCTGGGGATTGACCATAGGGTGTAAATATTTCTTTTGGAAGCAAGTGGAGGGTGGCAGAATGCTGTGTGAGCAGCTGGTCCCTCCAGCCCATACAGACCCAGGGCCAGGGAGCCTGGCAGAGTCAAGCTTGTTGTTGGTTCCTGATAAATGGAGAAGAGAAAACAAACAAATTTCTTCCTCAGCACCTCTCAATCCTTTCTCTGCCGAGGGGCAGAGTAAGACACAGAGTAATAGCAGCACTGGGGCTGGACCAGGGAACTCGGGGCTCAGAGGGGTGTGAGCTGCCGTGTTACCAGGCTGTGGCAGGGTGCTCATCTCTCACGGCTGGAGCTGAGGTTGTGAAACAAGTGATGTGCTGAGGCCAGGTAACTGGAGCCATCAGGACGCTGGAGTTGTGCTCAGCAAGGAGAACCCTTCGGGCCGAGGGGAGCAGCCGAGCGGGCACTGCCCCACACTGCCTGGAGCACGGCACTGCAAGATCCTCTGCCTCCTCCCGAACATACATTGAGCCTCATAAAACGGTCTCCTCCTTTTCCCCTCCCTCCTCCGTCTGTCCCTCCCTCTCTTCCCTGCTCTCTCACGCTCCAGCTCTGCCTTTACCACTGGGAAGGGGAGGTGGGTCACCTGTCAGGGGCTGGACTGTGGAGGGCAGACACGTGGGGTGTCTGCGTGGGACCTGCCTGGCTGTTGACAGCACACAGCATCTCTCTGCCTCTTCAATGCTCAAGGGCAGACCTTGCCTCATCTTCCTCTGTGCTGTCCCATCCTCTTCTTCACGTCTTGAATTTTTGAGCTCTCATACCCTCTGGAAACTGGTTCCATAGTCTCATGCTTGGTATCAGCAATGATTATTCTGCCCTAGTTTCTCTCAAGTGCTGACTGCAGTGCAAGATCAGGCTCTATGGGGCACTTGGTGTTGGAAGCAGCGGCTGAGAAATCAAAAAATTTTTGCCAAGGAAATAATCCACAGAAAGCTTGAAGGACACCAGTGGGTTGGAGTCACATAGGCATTTTGTGTGCTCTGTCCTATATTCCCGAGGCTTCTGAGCATGAAACTGTACAGGATCTGCCCAAGAAGCTGTACAGGATCTGTCCATGGCAGCTCTCCTTCTGCTTGTGCAGCTTTTACATTCTTCCTGCTATTTACAGATTCCCTGGTATTTATCTACTGCACAGATGAGCTGTGCTTTGCATTACTCCTTGCAGCCAGTCTTTGGCATGACCACTGGTTTTCTTGTTAGGAGAACTTCATTCCAGCTCAAGAGCCAGTTAACAATAGGAAGTGCTTTGGTGCTGCTTTGAGGACAGAAGTATGTTCTCGAAGTGTCAAAATGCTGATTGGGAATAAGAAATAAAGTGTGTTTTGTAGTCCAGGGGACAGGAGTCACCCCTGGGTCAGTAGTCCCAGGGTGTCATTCCCTGGGACAAGATCCCTGCCATGGGGATGGGTAGCAGCTCTCAGGGCAGGAACCCCACCATGGGTACAAGTGTCAGTGGGTGTGGAGTTGGGATCGTGTCCCAGAGCCACAGAACCCGGGATTCCTG